TCCCTTGCTCTAGGGGAGGGAGGACACTAGAGCAGCCCTATGGAGAGGCCCATGGGGCACGGAACTGAGGCCTTCTGCCCACAGCCATGTGTGTGAGCTTGGAAGAGGGATCCTCTGGGCCCAGTCAAGACTTTAGATGACTGTGGCCTTGGCGGACGTCTTGATTGTATCTTCACGAGAGACCAGGAGTCAGAACCACCCAGCAAAGCTGCTCCTGAATTCACGATCCACTGAGGCTGTTGGATAACTGTTACTTTAAGCCACTATGTTTTGGGGCAATTACACGGCAATAGCAACGGTTATACCTACTAATGGATATCACTCCAATAACTGTCCCCTGTCTCTCTGATGTCACTGTTTCCTTTTCCTGGCTTACTTCCGGTGGTGTGCAGTCATGCTGGATTTCTCCCGTTTTAAAGAAAACTCTTGATCTCACATTTTCTGTTCTCCTGTATTCCCAAACTCCTGCCAACTGCTGTCTGTAGTCACTTCTTCTGACTCCTTTTTTCCTATTCTTTCCTGAACTATTCAATTAGGCCTTTCAGCTCTGTAAAAGCTCTTGTCAAGTGAGAATCACCCCTGTTATTCAACCCCAAATCTGATCTTCCGTCTTCATCTAACTTGACTCAACTATTCATTTGATAAATACTTATTAAGTAGCTACTATGTAACCAGGCATTGTACTAGGTGCTGGATATACAGCAGTAAACAAAACAGACCAGAAAAGAAAAGAAAAAAACAATCTCCCTATCCTTATGGACGTCACATTCTGGCGTGGGGTGGAGGATGGGATAAACAATAAACAAGCAAAGCGCTACGAATATTTCTTGTAAAATGATACGACGTCTGGAATCAAAACACTTCAAAACAAAGGGCCAATGGACAGGAGTAAAGAGGTAACAGGATGAGCTTCTGTGGTTAATTACTGAAGCTGGATGATGAGTGCGTACACGGAAGCTCATCAAACTGCTCTTCACTTTGGTTCGTGTTTGAAATTCTCCATGGTAATAAGTTTGTTTGTTTGTTTTTCTTCTCTTAAAGCACATTGTGGTGGGTATCGGTGCTGGGAGCAGGGGTGGGACAATTCTACACAGGGTGGTCGTGACCCGAAAGGTGAGAGAGACATGCCGTGGGCCGACGAGAGAGCACTCCAGGCAGAGGAAATGGCAGCTGCGGAGGCCCTGGCTTAAGAGAACACTCTGTGTGTCCCAGAAACAGCATCACATGGTGACGAGGAGTAACTGAAGGGGGCGCAGAGGGGCTGGACCGCATCATGCCGCGGAGGCTCTGAGGATCTGGGTGTTTGCTCTGAGGGCAGCCCCTGCAGGGTTCTGAGGAGAAGGGACCTGATTGGATCTGGTCCGAGTGGAATCCGTCCTCACCCCCTCAGTCCCACACCAGCTCGGCTGGGGCCCAGCACTGGGGCCGCGGCCTCCTCTCCCCCTCATGCCATGCTGCAAGCCCAGCCCAAATCCTGCCAACGCACCTTCAAAACAAATCAGGTCCCACCACAGCCTCCGCCCCGTCCAGGCCCGCCCAAGTCACCCAAGGGCCTCGGCGCTTCTGCCCATTCTTCTCATGGCAGCTGCAGGATAAGTGAGGCAGGTCTTTCATGAGGTGGAAACCCGTACAACTGTCTTAGGAACTTTAATCATTTCAGTTGCAGGCATAATAAGACGTCCATGAATGGCACTTGAACGGCACGTTATAGTATGAGGAACATCCCAAATAGCACGATTCGCTGGTATCATGGTAGGTATGGTAATAGTACACAGTTGTTCATAGAACAGAAAAATATTTGAAAGGATATACCTTCTACTGTTAGTAGTTACGGATTAGTTGGGAATTTGTTATCATGGGTACATGTGACTTTGATGAAATAATTGTTTCTTATGACTTTAATTGAAGTATAACATGACACAGAAAAGTGTCCAAGTCATGAGAGTAGCTCAGCTCCCAGATTAAGGACTGGAATCAACCAGGTGCTACAGATGCCCCAGCATGTCCCCCTTCAACCACTTTCCCCTCTCTCCAAAAGTAACCACTGCCTCAGCTGCTGGAAGCAACTTTCTTTTAATAGTTGGATCAAAAAAAAAAAAATGTGTGTGTGTATATATATATATATATATATATATATATATATATATATATTAGGCATCAGGTCGGGGGTGTCAGAGAACGAAGGGGATCTGGCACAGGCAGGCTTAGAGAAGTCACGACTCAGTAACCACAGGGTGGTCCTGAGGTAAGACCCACGCCCCCAGCTTTAGGCTGGGCCTCTCCTACTGGCTCAGGAACCCCCTGCCCTGGAGAAGCATGGCCACATCATCGGGCTGCTGAGGAAGCTATCAGAAACACAGGGAATTTATGGAGCACGAAACTCGTGTTTAACATTTTTAAAGCAGAAGAGACTTCAAAGAAATGGGGGGATTGTAGCAGGTGCTTCAGGGATCGCCACCCTGAAGAGGTGGGCCTGTTTAAGGGGTCGCTAGGGGAACAGCGGGGCCTGGAGGATGCGCTCTGCAGCTTTCTATCTATGCAGCAAGTTTTTCTCGAATGTCCCTCACAGCTTCAGCTCAGGCCCTCCATCTGCCCTTTCAGGAATCCCCCAGAACAAAAGCTGAGGGGCACCTCGCTCTAGGAAAATCTTGATATTAAAGAATATGTTGGGGGACTTCCCTGGTGGTCCAGTGGTTAAGAATCCACCTTCCAATGCAGGGGACGCGGGTTCAATCCCTGGCCAGGGAACTAAGATCCCACGTGCCACGGAGCAACTAAGCCCACGTGCCACAACTATGGAGCCCACGCACTCTGGAGCCCACATGCCACAACTAGAGAGAAGCCCGCACGCCACGACTAAGTCCTGACGCTGCCAAAAATAAATAAATAAATAAAATAGTAAAAAAAAAGAAAAAAGAATATGTTGAGTTCAGAGGGGCGCGTGCGCAGAGGGGAGGGGTGTGGCTGCTGAGTGAGCACTTCTTTGAGCACCCCTGAACCCGTGCGAGGTGCTCGTGCACGTATGCACCGCATTCGCTCCTCACCGAAATGAAGTGTCAGGCCCGCTTACAGGAGGAAACGAGACTCAGAGAAGTTACGGTCAGTGGGTACGGAACTGGTAGCAACAGGCCTGGGACTCCACCCTGGGTCAGGCCGGCCCCGCTGCCAGCGTCCCAAGCGTCCAGAATAGGTCCACACCATCCTCCTGGCCCTGGCAATGCTCCGGAGTCAGAGGAGCCCTAGCTCCTTCTGGAATCTGGCACATGGTGTACTGGCTGCCCACATCACACAGAGGACCCCAAAGAAGGAAAAGGGGGGCCCGGGAAGGCCAGGTGTATGTACGGAAGAGCCTGACCCCAGGAAACAGGTCTGGAGCACAACCCTCAACCCCTGGGGAAAAACTCCAGCTGGCAGTGTCCTTCTTTAAGTTCTTCTCAAACTCCCAGCTCCTGAAGACAGCAGCGTGGGAGACAGAAAAGCGAGCCACAGAGAGCTGAAGCCCCGTGAATAGCTTAGGGGATGAGCTGAGAAAGGAAAAGTACCAAACAGGTGGGGGACCCTCTGGTATCACAACACAAGTTGGGTTGGCTGGCCATGTAACCAGAGTCTCTTTCTGGTGACCGTGTGTGTACACACACACACACACACACACACACACACACACACACACACACACACACACACAAACGCGCGCGCGCCTTTTTTCTGGAAACGTACTCTCTCTCAGACCACAGAGGTAACAGTGCGACCCACGCCGTTCCCTGCCTGGGGGAGCAGGCCAGTCTGCACAGAAGCGGAGATACAACGGGGTGGGGGTGTAGGAAGAGAAGAGGGGAGACCTGAGGAAACAGGAGTAATGTTGAAACAGGAGGGAGAAAAGAAAGGAAGGCAGACGGGCCTGAGTGTGGAAGGCCTGGATCCAGGTGTCCCGAGGCAGTTAAGGCTCGACAGCCTGGCTGTGTTAATTAACGCCTTTGCCTCTTTGTTCACAGCATTTCAAGTTAGATTCTATCATTTACAATCCAAAGAGTCACTATCCCTGTTGTACATAAAGAAACGCATCTCCAAAATCACATTCATACACAAAAAACTAAGGAAACCAAAGTTATTTTTCAAATTAACTCAAGGAATGGGTCTCTCTCCAAGAAGCTGTTCAAATGAAAGCATTTATTTTTATAAACATTTTCTCCAGCCAGTATCTCTAATTACACTTAAGAAACAGAATAAAAAAAAAAATCTGTATTTAATTTTATGCCAAGTTAAAAGAATATCCAGTAGCTTCCACTTCTTGTTTTAGACTGTTATTACCATTACTTTATATTCTCTTGGTAAAAAAAATATGTTTGTTTTTTTTGAGGTACACGGGCCTCTCACTGCTGTGGCCTCTCCCGTTGCGGAGCACAGGCTCCGGACACGCAAGCTCAGCGGCCATGGCTCACGGGCCCAGCCGCTCCGCGGCATGTGGGATCTTCCCGGACTGGGGCACGAACCTGTGTCCCCTGCATCGGCAGGCAGACTCTCTACCACTGCGCCACCAGGGAAGCCCCTAAAAATGTTTTAAAAAATCCCAAACTAACACATAAACAAGCAACACAGCTACCAGCATATCCTTATAAACATAAACACGACCGACGCTCACAAGTCAGGCAAGACAGGAATGGCATCTCGGGGTGGTTGATCCATGGATGGTGGCAGGCAGTGCAAGGAAGTTTCTGGAAGACCGTTAGTCCTGGTTTTCAGCACAAGAGAACCTCTCATGTCACGGTGCACGTTTCACAATATTCAAAAACAACCACCTCGTTTACTTGATTAAAACCGGGGAAAGGGACAATGTTCTCGGGGAGCCACAAGGCACAGAAGCGCCCTGGGGGCACCGCATGGCCAGCGGGCGCAGCCCCACAGTCTGACCAGAGGCCTGGGACCGGCTGCCAGATGTCGACCCCTGCAGACGCAGCGAGGGTTTCCGCGGGGCTCCGGGAGCGTGCGTCCCCGGCGCAGACAACACCCTCTAACGATGGTCAAGTAGGGGAGGCAAGCTCCTCCAAACCACACGTGGGATCGGTTCCAGACTCAGTGGAACAGCCGTCCTCTCCTGGGCCTGGACTTCAGGTGACCGGCTGAACGGCGGAGGGTCTTCCTCTCTTGTCGGTGCAGTTTCGCAGCCTCCTGCTGCTGCTTCTGCTGTTCCGACTAAAAGAGAAAATTAAATGAGGAGAGAGAAAGGGAAGGCCAACACCCCTTTTCTGTGGCCATCAGAACGCCAACAGCACAACCACCAATCACTGCCCTGCTCCGGCAGGGACAGCAGGACGAGGGCCAACCTTTACGGTCACTGTGAAACCTGAAACACTAAACCCCTGGGTAAGAGAACGGCCTTGACACACGTTTCTAAACCACACGGTCTGAGGCTGGCTTTCCAACTCCCCACACAACACGGCCCCTCCCAGGAGAGCCAATTTTAAGAGGACGCTATTGCTTTCAAGATGTCCACTTCTCATGTAGAACTGTCTTTCGTTTACAAGCCAGAGACCTTCATTAGTTTACTCAGACTGTCTTAAAGACACAAAAGTACTTCTGTGTCCTGAAAGTGTATAATAACCCACCCATGATTAAGCATTCAGTCTCCAGAGCTGGTTCCAAAGAGTTTTTGGCTATTTCCAAAAAGTCAAACTCCCCTTGAAAGGCAGAGATCTATCATTAAATGCTGATAAAGGCTCGGCAGACACATCAGTCACAAGTTCATGGCTGGAATGGGCGCGTGGGTTCTAGGCGGGCTGCTTGCAAGGCACCATTCTCAACACTCAGGCGAGAGCCAGACCTCCTCCAAACAGTTTCACTATGTTTAGCAGAAATTCTTAAAAGAGAGGAGTTTCAACGCAGAATCCGCAATGAAGTAAGAGCTATATAGTTTTTTTTTTTTTTTTTTTTTTTTTT